GATATGTTTTCAAGAACGTGGCGGCGTTTAGCGTCACGTACCATCTGGTTACATCTGTTTCTCGCGGTCTTAAAGGCAGCCCAGTTATCCTCCGTATGATCTCGAGTATCTTACTGAGTATAAACCACCCCGTTCCTTCTCCTGCACGTCGAGCCGGAGCCCCGGTAACCCGTTAGGTTCTCCGCGACTGCGAATCGGCATCGGCCCTATTGGGCCCCATCTGTGGTGGTCTGATGGCTCTTTGAGGCGCGCGCAGAATGCGATGCGCTCGGGTCTGTTTCTGGTTGGACAGTGAGCCACCCATGCTCGCCGTCCGCAGGCCCGCGCTTACGGTGGCGGGAGATCGCCCCGTGATCCACGACGCCCGGTGTGTCCTTCGCTGGGTCCTTCCATGGCTGGGTTGCGAGGAGGCAGCGCTTCGCTGCCTCATGCGTCCCGCCTCCTCCTTAGCTAGCGTAACTACTTCCAAAAGGAGGAGACGGCATCCCTGTCCCCCTCTCTCCGCATCATGACCTGCACTAGGCCCGGACGCCAGAGGTCGCCATCGCCGATCACTTCCCTAAGGGCACGGCGGTGCTCAGCCCATGCAGGGCATTCCATTACAGTGTGTTCCACCGTGTCCTCAGGGCGGTCCTCGCAGTGAGGACACCCGGGCGTTTCATCCCGCCCCATCAGACACATCCCGAAACTTCCATGTCCGGTGAGGACCTGCGTCAGGCGGTAGGTGAGGACGCCGTAGCGTCTCTCAAACCACTTCTCAAAGAGGGGACTTACCACTGCAATGGCAGCGAGCCAATGGGGACTGGGATAGGGGAGAAAACTGGGTCTCAAGTAACTTCTTCCTATCCTTCAAAATTTTTTAATGAATCCAATCCTACTGCTAGGCAGTCACAATTCCGACAACCAAAGAGGTAGTCTATTTTTACATGACACAAAAAAGTATAGACACATACGCAACTAGAATTCCAATTACATAACTGTGTAAACATTATAAAGCTTTCATATAAAGGCTCTGCACTCAATACTACCTCTACATTTAAAAAAAGAATACAATTAAAATTACAATTAAGTAGGTTACGAGTAGAACGTACAATCATCGCAACGATTTTTATCATAACTAACCATGTTATGAAACATTTGATTTTATTTGTGTTATTTTTAGAAATTAGCATTGTAATCTAATAAATATATGGGAAGCATCTGGTTAGTGATTTTGCGAGCATAACAAAATATGATGAAATATTTCTTAACCATCGAAGAGGTGCATTTAAAAGACATATAATTAAAACAAAAAGAAAATGATAATGACGTACGATAATAAAAAGAAACACATGACAACAAGAGAAAACCAAAGAAAATCATAAATCTTCCAGTGTGGGAGAGTCATGCTTCGGCACGAACAGGCCGGCTCGACCGGAGTGATACCACGGCCTCACAGAAAACCGTTAACCAACCCTTGCGTTGTGTTTTGTCGTGTGAGTGAGGTTATCGGAGGCCCAATTACCCTCCCCTTCCCCAATCTCCCCAATCCCTGAATCCCCAACGATCCTCAAACTCCTAATCCCCAAAAGTCCGGTAACGCACTAGTAACGCCTCTGGTTTTTTAGGTCTCCATGGGCGACGCCGATTGCTTACCATCAGGTGATTCATCGGCTCGTTTACCGGCTTATGCCATAAAAAAAATATGCACTTATTATGGTTGCATTATTAATAGTATAATGTTTGCATGTTTTTTTTTATTAAACGTTGCTCCACACTAGGATTTTCTCCTGTGTCGTGGGTGCGTTTACAAACATACAATATCACATACACATGACACCCAGACCCGGAACCACAATCTGTGGATCACACAAAGAGTTGTTCCGTGCGGGAATCGAACCCGCGACACGTTACGCGGTAGCCAGTTGCCCAGCTACCGCGCCAACCGTCCACTCAATTCTATGCATGTATGCATGAATCACCGCTATCTTTGAAAAGTCAAAGCTTTTCACCCGAGATTAGCATCCGAAACCTTTTATAAAGCATAATAAAAAAAATAAAATAACCCTTTATTGCTGTAGTTACAATAACAAAAATTACAGTTGTAACCAACGTTGTAACAGAGTTAAATAAACAAACTTAAAAACTACTCGAACTTTATCTCAGCAATCGGTTTCTCTCCTCTTACAACAACTTGTCTTTCGACAAAGGCCTCCTCTAAGGATTTCCACTTGTTTCTGTCCTTTGCTCGACGTAACCATTCTGGCCCTGGTACTCGTTTCAAGTCGTCTTCCCATGGTTTATGTTGTCTTCCTCTACTTCTCCTGCGGTCTCTAGGGTACCATTCCGTAATTATTTTGGTCCATTTCTCTCTCTCCTCTCTCAGCATATTATGTCCTGTCCAACGCCATTTCAGCGTTCTATATACTGATAGGACATTTCCGAACTTGGTATTTTCTTTGATTTCTTTCAGTTGTATCTTATCCTTTCTTCTTACCCCCAGTACACTTCTCTCGATTCCATTTTGGCATATCCTTAATTTATCCTGCTGGTGTTCAGTTAAGGCCCAAGTTTGGCATCCATATACAAGACATTGTAGACAGTAAAAACATTGAAGACTTTTCGTTTTTCTGTCATAGGCATTTCTTCATTTTTCATTATTTCGCTTAGTGACCAGAATTTTTTCCAAGTATTTGCTATTCTTCTTTCAATTTCCTTCTGCATACACTCTGTCGGTGATACTAATTGGCCTAAATAAATATTTTCGCTTACATATTCCAGCTGCTGATTGTCGATTGTAATAGCAGGTTTTTGTAGGGAATTGCTCATTATTTTAATATTTTTGTCTTTGAGATGTTCATTGTGAGCCCTGCATTAGCGCTTTCATCTGTCAATTGCTGTAGCATTCCTTCCAGGGACATTCCGAGAAAATTATCAGATCGTCAGCGAATCTCAAATGACTCTGTTTTTCTCCGTTCACGTCAATACCGAAATTTTCCCAGTCTCTTGAAGATCAACTCCAACACAGCTGAGAATATCTGAGCATAGTAAAAGCATAATAAATAAATTTAAATCGACATCCATCTTAGGAGTTTGGCGTTAGTTGGATGGATCAAGGGCCTGATACAGAAGGCGAACTGCCTTCCTAGAAACGGAACGTATCGTCAGGAGGTTTCTGTCTCTAGAGCCCTAACTACCGGTAGCTTGGACCATGCTCCCGTTGGTCGGCTCCTATTTTTTATATTTTTATTTTATGTTAAGTTGTACATACAATGTAACACCCACTTTTCACTATTTTATGTTATGAATTCAATAAGGGGTGAGCCAATTGCCATTAAACGGGCACAATTCCAGACTCCGTGATACAACTGAGATTTTTTTTTAAAACCCAGTAATACTTGCCTTAGCCGAGAATCCAACCCGAGATCCCTTGCCGTAGTCGCACTTGCGGCCACTCGGCCAATGAGGCCAGCATTAAGTGCCGTAATGTGCACCTCTGCCTACCCCTTCGGGGATAAAAAGATTGAAGTTATGTGTTAGTCATGTTAAGTTATATTTAAAAATGTAATTTACAAAGAATTTTAAATAAATATATGGAAATAGATTTAAATCAGAATTAAGATGTAGGACACAGTGATACCTGATTATTTCAGATGACTTTCTAAAATAAATCTGATCACATAGTTATCAAGAGAAAATAATGTTTTTATATAACGTATCATAATTTTAATTCATTGAAAGATTTATTAGAGTGGGCTCATATTCAATTCTTTTAAAGTATTGAAACAAACTGTCAGTTTCAGTAAAACTATAAATACACAATTAAATAACTAAAATTTGAGTCAGAAAATACAATTTCTGGTCTTCTGTTGTGTAGTTTTATTTAGATTTCAATAATACTACGAGACATGCAAATTAAATCTAGTTAGAACCTAATTTGACTTTTTAAAACACGTATCTATAAATATATAGCTAAATATAAACAAGGACTAAACATAATACTTACAAAATATCTCAAAAGTATATTTAAATAAAATCATCCCTCAGAATTTTCATTGACCCCTTGCTCGATAGATGGCGTTGTCAAAAAACGTGTCAATCCTGAATCGCGCTATGGTTTCGTTACAAGCCGACTACATATACCGGCGGGCGACCCGAGGAAAGATATGGGGTGAACATCCCAAGAATCTTAAGGGCTCATGCAGATACTGTGAAAGCGCAATTTTTTAATAGGACTGCCTGCATAGCTGCGGGTCAGTTCTTAATAAATACCGAAAAATTATAATTTTAAGTCAACTTGTCTCCTTGCTTAATGGAGACAACCAGGAGTTTGATAATTATTCTGTTTCAGCGATTCATTCAAGCTATATTATTCTAATTCCTTACAATCGTATTTTTCAAATATTCAAAAGTGCCTATTATACATACGTCAATTCTTCATTAGTTGGTATTTTACAAAAAATCAACCCTACATTTCCATGAATATGAGGCAGAAAGCACGTAGCGCCATCTGGTGTTATAAAACATAACCATTTCCATTATGAAGGTAATACTGAATAAGTTACTTTCGAAGCTTATTATTTATTTTAGTTTGGAATAAAATATATCGGATTTGTTATTTGTTTTATCACCGGGTATGAAACCCACATAATGTTTTCTTTTCTTTTGAAAGATGGGCAGAAATGTACCCTTCAAATGTATTATCGCTTGTTATTAGTAGGTGTTATGCGTAAGAATATAGTTTCTAATTATTTATAGAAAATGTTTCTAAATTTTAGGTGTCTAATATTACTTAAAACTGTTCCGGGTTTATATTTATGGAAAGCGATATAATACATGATATTATTATCGTATTTTTCTATTCTAAAGGATAAGGAAAATGAAGACATCGCCGCGACCGCGCATGCTGTTCATCTCATCTCAGTATTTTCCCGTGAGGAACCCATGATTTTTATAGCTAATTTACTTAATTCTTAATTAAGCACTTTTGAAACTTCAAAATTAAAATTATTCGTCTTTGGGGGCGTCCATAAATTACGTGAGGTATTTTTTTAAATTTTCTGACCCTCCCTCCCCCCTTGGTGAGATGTCGTGAGATTTTATTCAACCCCCTCCCCCATCCCCCAATCTCACGTGAGATTTTTCGGAATGTGGGTTTCTTACATAAACGCGTTGGATTTTTATTGTGAAAAGAAAAAAACAATTTGATTCGTGCTTTTATTTAAGACTAGTTAAGACTAGTAATCAATATTGCTGAGAGTAATAAATGTAATAAAAATTTAACAATAGAATACTTAAATCTAGCTACTGTGATTAAAAAAAAAAGAATATCTACTCTAATTCAGTCCATGGGGAATTATGCGCGGTCTCAAGAGAGACTATTGGAACCAACATGTCCATATGATTTTCAGTAAAATCATCTGCCCCTTCAACTTCGTTCTGATCTAGCCACTCCAAGCCGTTGGCGCTTGCACACAGTAACTCATTAGCTCGTCTTGTGACAATCCTTGATGGTCGCATTTTGCAGAGCATACGTGCTTGTTTAGCTGGTGCAATGTGGGCGGCTCGCCTGTGCTCTGCAGCTCTTGTGACAGATGCAAAGTAAATACCGCATGTACTGCAGCATCTTTTCTCTAAAACATCATGTACACTTGGGCAATAGAGATCATAAGGCGTGCTGATGAAGGCATTCAGCGGTTGAATCGGTAGGCAGTTTCGTATTAGAAATGGAGCAAATGACTTTCCGTCATGCTCTTTAAAGTCCGGAATTATTAAATGTCCATCAATCTGAGTGATAGGGTATGGAGGTGGCAGAAAACGGTCGTGAAGAATCATATGTAGATCACTCCGGCGTGGGCTGCAGCACTTTTGGTCATCGCATTTCACAACCTAAAAAAATAAATTAAGAACAATTTCCCTTTGTAAACTCTTAACAAAAATTTGTTGACAATCGCGCTCGTTAAAAAATTAAAAAAAAATAAAATAGGCACGCATAAAAATTTGATATGAAAGAACTGCAATGTACCTGGAGTAAATATTGGCTCTCTCTAACGTGCTCAGTGTACCATTCTTCGGCTGGCAGATCTGGAGCGCTGGAAGTGTCATTTTTTGGGTCTATATATTCAGCGATTACTTCGTGTCCATCAATGCATACTCCAGTTGTACCGTAACTAAATTGAGCTATTTGGTATAAAATAAATCTGGTGGTTTGAAATTCAGTAGATGTATAACGTCGAAATATGAATGAAATTATTTTCTTTCGAATGAATTAGTGTGTGTGTGTTAATCTTAATCGTATTACGATGAAGCTTAAAATTAAATCTTAAGCATGTACATACAATTTGAATTAAATGGACCAAAATAGTATAATTATTTTTGTTTCAATCAGAAAAAAAAATTGCGTGATATTTATCGAGACCCCCCCTCTCCCCAGCGTGAGATTAGATGAGATTTGACTCGACCCCCTCCCCCCCTTAATCATCTCACGTAATTTATGGACGCCCCCTTTCTGCATGTCAATGAAAATATTAATTAAGTTAGTCCATATCTATTATTTAGTATTTCATTTATTTAGACGCTTTTAAAATAAATAGGGCAATTTATGGAATTGGTGTGTTGCTTGGCTAGATGCGATGAAGGGGTGAAGATTGAACTGAGTGCAGTTACCTGCTATTGGCGAGGTCTATCCAGCAGAGGACAGATACCAGCATAATAAACAGATGATGTTTATAATAGAATTGATGTCTAATATTTACGTAATACATGATCTTTTACCGTTTTACACCTAGATAGAAATAGCTTTTCAATATTAAAACATTATTTACATCATGCCTTCTAATCCCCGAAGGTATAAAGAGAGGCATGCTTAGTGTATCGTCAAAGAGGACAAGCCTATTACCGTACATGAGGCCCATTCCAGGCTCCGTGCTTTATACCTCTAAAATACCTCATAATCCCTTACCCAAAACCAAGACCAATTGTTGGGTAGTCGTGCTTACGGTTACTCGACCGACAACGGCGCAGTATACTACATACTACATTTTGATTCATTCCTTTTCGTGAACTAATGACCTGATACGGGAGCTGCTGGATACAGGTTGTTTCTAGCCGGCCAATCTGTAAGTTAATGTTAAAGGTTTATATGCAGGTTTATATACCAGACGGCTATGTAGCTGTAATGGTAAAGACATTATTTTATAAAACTATGCTTTAAAAAAACCGAATTCAGAAACCACAAACTAAAAACCACAGATATATTCTAATATTTCTGTGTTAAAAACCAAACAATAATAATTATTCATTGTACATTCAGTCCCTACTCCTACCTACTTCACTTTTTGGGAAGTGTGGGAGAGCTATGCTTCGGCACAAATGGGCTGGTTCGACCGGAATGATACCACGGCCTAACAGAAAACTTATTTAAATTAAACTTATTTTAATTACCAATACTTCTCAAATTCAAGGCCGATAACGCGGTTTTAACGCCTCTAGGTGAACGGGACCTATACCAGGTGAACGGGAGTTCGGGGTGTTGACGATTGCTTACCATCAGGTGATACGTCTGCTCGTTTATGGACTTATCCCCTAAAAAAATTCGGTTAAAAATGAATAGCATTTTAATGTGCCTGTACCTACTTCAGCGGGTGGTAATGCCAGAGAAGAGGTCACTACACTATTGTGCGTGTGTAGTGTCTAGTGGGCTACTGCCCGCCGGTAACGGGAAAAATCCAATCTATCGGTGGTCAGGGCTCCAGAGAGCAGATTTTCCGGACAATACGCGTCGTGTCCAGAAGTATTGCTTTCTGCGTCAAGCCCTTGACCCAATCATCTAACGCTAGCCTGCTCAGGTGTCGGTCGCGGCTTTTAGCTATTATTTTTACTAGGCTAGGAGAGGCCTAAATCTAGCGATGGACTATCAACAGCTGTTGACAACGATGATGTATTTTACAGTAAACAATTCTAGCGAGGATATAAACAGATCCACAAGCAAATAATGCAATTATATAATGTATGTTACGTTGCGTTGGTGATAGGAGATCGTCGCGTGCGCAGCACATTCACCTCGATGAGTGACGCATCATCTTATATTAGTACGAACTGCGAGTACGCTTAGTAAAATGGAGTAGCCTAAATGTTTAATCTTTAAGTTGAAATAGTAAAAATGTTACATAATTATTATTTTCTGTTTCTGGTGGTCATAAGCGTGACTACCGAGCAAAGAGGTCTGGTTTGATTCTCACGCTTAGCAGACATAGTATTATTGATTGTTTTTAGTTTATCAAATTCTCAATATTTCATGAAACTGTCCGAATTCTCCTTAGATTTTTATTCTTAGCCGTCTGCTGTATTCTCGCCAGCCTTTTTAGTTTAAAATTATCAATACTATAGGTTATTCAACCATCATTATTTTCAAAAGTGTATTCTTAGTTCTCTCAATTAATATAAACAAAATTAATCACTAGAACCTCAAACCCATGGCTTCCCAACTTACACCTACGTAAACTTAAGGCTCATCCATCAATAAATACGGGCAATGTGGAATGTACAATGTACCTCTTTATCATTACTTTGATTATAAAAGGAAGTATCAATTACGTGTTCTGGGTAGGAGCACATGATTAAGAGCAATCTTTTTAAACCATTTTAGTTCGACGTCCTGCATACCAATACAATCAATAGCAGGATTATCTCAGCTTCGGAAGAAGACGCTCCATAAAAATTATTGGGAAAACAATCTTTAGAGATTGTTTTGGATATTGTCAAGGTTATAATAGACCTTCAAAGCAAAATTACTTACTTCTGCTTAATTTTCATTCAATGCCAAAGTCACTCCACGTTAGCTATTTTGACAAACGCTGTGGCATCGAAAATGGAACCCAAATTTGTAAACGAAAGCATTTGGGACGATGATGACGATGGCGCGAATAACGAAGAAACAACCAACTCCGCCACCAGATTTCACCGAAACAAAGAAAAGCAACCCTGTGCTCTTAATAGGCAGTTACTGGTTCCATGTGACATATAATAAATATATAAGGAGTTGGTACTGCTCCAGACGATGCCAAACCGGATGGCGAGTGTAGGGACACACTAGTATGCAATTATTTATATATATTACGTATACAATTGTATGTGCGAGGTGTCTACTTACATTATTCCTTTAATCGAAGCAACTGTGTCCAGTCTATGAAATTATATGTAAGAGTTAACACGTTCCTTAGTTATCCGCGTGTCAGTTGCGATAAATTATTATAATGTAATTGTATGTCTGTATGTCTAGTGTGTGTGTGGAACAATATATTTTATAACAGTGCTCTGACCTTCATTGACCGATTATTATTATAGACAGCATACCTACAACCACTAAATCTACATTGGTGACCTCGACGTCGAGCAAAGGCCATCACTATAAAAAATAATAATTTAACCTGCGAAGTGTCGGGACGCAGATGTACGCGAGACACAATGTGTTTTCTATTGTGTCTCATATATTGACAGACAACAGGTTAATTCATACTAGCTTCTGCCATCGGCTTCAGCCGCATTCCCCTTGGAATAAAAAGTAGTCTATATGTTACTTTCGACCGCCAACTACCCCTGTTCCAAATTTAATATCGATCCCTTCAGTCGTTTTTACGTGAAAGAGTAACAAACACACGCACACGTACACACACACACACACACACACACACACACACACACTAAAAGTATGTATGTATTGTGTGTCTGTTTGTTTCCTTCAAGTTTTCTCACAAACTTATGATTTTATATTTGTAGGATAAGGAGCTTGTCCTATGCCTAACCGTGGTAAGATTGATAATCAATATTTCAAAGTTCAGGTCAATTTTTTTGTAACCTCACGATGATAAAAAAATAAACATTTAATCAGGTAAATGGTGAATCTACTTCATAACATATGTATTTCATATTGTTTTAGTTGATCATGCATATAAAATGTATATTTAAACGAAACTAGGGCAATCATTTTATTTTATTTTATTTTTATAATTTACCAACAGCTTCTGTATACATAGTATTAAAAATATAATTATAATAGATATTGGGCTTATACAGTTTATCATTTAACATAGAAACCATACACCTGTACCACATTCCAGTATAAATCTACAGTGCACATTCCTGATGTAACACCATAAAATATTTGATGCCGTCTTAACTTTATGAATGTAAACCATAAGATATTAAGGAGTTTTTGACCTTCGAACATTATGGAATGCTATCAATGCCAATTAATGTCAGCCGGGTCATAAACGTGTTTGAGGTTTTTAAGATCGACCATAAATTATGGTGTGACGTAAAGCAGCATCTAAGATGCATTTAAACGTGTAATGTGATACGCTTAGGTACAATTAGAAATGTCTTATAGTGATTTCTGATTTTTATTTGGTATTTGTTTAAAGTTCCTGGATATTTTGTTCGTTCTTCCAAACACAAGATGTTTGCTTAGATGCTCTTAGATGTGTAATCACAATTGTATAATATAACTAAAAATAGGTGTACTCACAATAAGTAATTTGAAATGATTTCCCTTGTAAACTGCAAATAATTGAAACTTTGACATATCAACCTGCGGTAATCCAGCAAGAAAAATCTCGCTCAAATGTTTCTCACAGTTTATTTTTATGACATTTGTTACTTAATTGATAATGGTAGCACCCATTAAAAACTAAGAACGAATACAACTTAAATTAAACCACATTATCCATAAAAATATATAAAGTATAACAAAGGAAAGTTAGTAAATCTAAACAGTCCATGATTTTCAAATTATGATGAATAAGTGGTCCTTAAAGAAGAATATTGCTTCCATATATTTTGTTTATGGTTCCCATATGGGTCTAGGTGGGTGGTATATTGTGATGGGAGTGGACGATCCCCCCCGTGCGGCTCGCGTCTATTCCCAGACAGTTTACATAATATCATCTAATCTCTTTTAACTATTGTAATTAATTAAGGTCCGAGTCCTGCCGAAGAACTTGACGGTAGTCATTTTTTGAATGGCAATGACGTTTTTATTACTTTATAAGGAATGCCTTTTCTAACGGTACCCGTGGGTTTATGGTCCCTTCGGTAACTTTGTGTGGTTTTGATACAGACATTTTTAATCTATAAGTTGAGCGTGACTGTTTCTTAGTCGTACGTTATTTTAGTTCCCAGGAGTGTCAGCGTCTGTCTTCGTGTCCATTATGTAGCTGATATATTATACGTACATAATATTATATTAAAATATCAGCGATTTTCTTATGCCTGTTGAGGCATTGGTATCTTTAAATTTATACAAGATTAAGTTTATTTATTTTGACTTAGATTTTAAGACAATTTACTAGATTTGGCTAATGGCTAGTGTAAAGTCATAACAGCACCACCTAGAGTTCGTTTGAAGCATTGCAGTGAAAGGAAGGTAGTGTAACAACCATTTGTAACAGCTGGTTTGTTACAGATACCTTCGGTGTAAAGGCATCATGAACAAGCGAAAGTATTCGCATAAACGTTCACTATACAATGATTCGCCAGTTATGCGGTAGATGGCGACTATTTCGTTTAATTTCGTCTGTCAATCTCTCATAGATTAATACAAAAATTGGTTTTTATGTCAATATGGTTGGTTGATTTTGAATCATTTGTTGTTTGTTTGTTGAATTTTAATTATGGTTAAATGCACGGTTCGTGCGGTGGCTAGACAACTGGC